GTCGATGCATTTTCTTCTTCTTGTACCTTGCCTCCTTTCATAACACGCATCCATGTGTTCGGTGTCTTATCTTCGCCCATTTTAGCAACAATTTCGCCGTCTTCGGCTTGAGGGTAAGCGAGGCGAAATTATTTGCAGTCTTCAGTATCGGTTGTTAAAATTCGAGGGCGCTTCAACTCACCAGCAAGCCAATACCAACAGATTCGCGCACAAACAGGCTCTGTACAGATTCCAACCGAGCTGAATCCGTGTGAAATCCCACAGAGCTCCGCTGTCGTCAAGAAGAACGGCGCCTTCTCTACCGGCCGAACTGGAAATAATATAAATACATAGAATTAATTGAAAAACTGCGAAAACTGGGCGAAGGTGTTTCGTGCAAGCTTTCCGCCCGAGTTCGGACGGGGGGCAAGACGCAGCGGAAACGGTTTCCGACGGAAACGGTTTCCGTCGATGCTCGCTGAACACCAGGGAAACACCACCTTTTATTTCGTCTTTAAAAAGAGAAAGGTTTGAAACGCGATAAGAATGCTGTGCTACTGCACCGCGAGGTTTGTATGCCGAGCGATGTGCGTAATCCGATAAGTTGAAACAGAAGTGATCTGCAACTGCCGGAGATCACATCCACAACCAGGATGGCAGCCTGTACAGTCGACGGCACCGCACAACTTCAAAGGAGCTTTCTTCCTGTATTATCAAGCCCGATACAGCAGTTAAACTTGAAAATATTATATTTTGTTTGCTACAAGCCACCGCATTGCCGGCCTTTGGACGTATCGTGCGAATCGCCCAATTACGAAACGTGAACTTCGGCACGCCGGCCATTACGGGGTTCAGCGACAAGGCTCTGGTGGCTCTGGTGCAATTGTGGTGCATTATTTTCAGTTAACCGTCAAAAATAGTTGAAAAGGAAGTTGATTCGCTGTGAATCCTATATTCGAGAACTGCGGGTCTACAACCCCTCGCGGCCTGTCTTTCGTCGGCGAGCAGTCGGGGGTGACCGCCGGTTCTAATGTTCATGTTCGCAAGGGGTGGATGGNCTGTCTTTCGTCGGCGAGCAGTCGGGGGTGACCGCCGGTTCTAATGTTCATGTTCGCAAGGGGTGGATGGGTCGCCTTGAGTTGCTCCAAATGCCAAAAGAGCTGATTTGTGTGATTCATTTTAATTGTTTTTTGCCGTTAATTCCAACAAATATACACAAAGTCGGCTGTTGGCCGCCTTGGGATACCCTTGCGTCGGCCACCTTGACATACCCGTGCATCGGAAACTTGCACGTGAGTGCGTGATGCGTGATGTCGACCCCTCTGCAAACCCAGTGCAGCAACCCAAACCAAAATTAAGCTACACTACGTCTGTATTTCCACCATTTCAGCAATACAGACGCGTATGTTGCTTCTACCACTCTGTAGGCAATCTAGCAGCCCGGGTGGTTAGCCAGCGTCCTCCATGTAGGATTCGCTCCAGTGTTCCTTCTGGAAAAAGCCGCTTTATCTTCTGCATAGACATCTTCCAACCATTTCTGTCGGCTACCAAATCAAATCCAATTGAACTTTGAACTGCTTCTACTGTTTCGGAGTGACCGACGGTTCTGCATAAACATCTTTCAATCATTTCTGTCGGCTACCAAACCAAATCCAATTCAACTTTGAACTGCTTCTACTGTTTCGAAGTGACCGACGGTCACTTCGAAGGTGAGACTGCCGCAAAAGCTTGTGTGTCTTCTCCGGCGTATTCTGAGAACATGCAGTGTAACAGCATGTAGCATTAAATGTGCAGCACTGTCAAACAAGTGGATCTACACGCTGAAGTAAGCCAATAACCGCTGGTTTGCCATAGTAATCGTTAGTAGGCACGCCGTAACGTCCCGTTTCAAGGCATTCACTCAATGCTCTTCTAAGGTTGATCGCGTGGACGAAATATATTTCTGGCATATCTTGCAGCTATTTGCCTCCTTCGTCAGTATTGCTTGCCCCTGATTCCTCTGACCTTAGCAAGCCTGTCTATACGGAAGTATGCATTCATGAACTACATTCCGGTCTAAGCACTCCCTGCATCCACGGCGTCCGCAGAGCGGTGAAAAGCTGCTGCGGTAGAAAGGGAACCATCGCCGCAAATTGTCAGCTGATACACAAATATATATTGCATATATATTTGTGAGTGAGTTGCCCTTACTTGAGGAGGGAATCTACTTCTATGAGCAAGCACACGAAGTACAAATTTGTTGGTCACTCGCGCGTCTACTACGGCCCTGCCATAAGCCTAAAAGTCTGAATCCAAAGGGATAAGCCCCGAACGCTTTCCAGAAGTATTTGCAGAGTGGTTTAAGTATCACTTTCTTGCTACTGAACTTCGCACGAAACTCTGTGGGTGACTACTTCATACAACTGCTTAACTGGCGCAGCAGCACCACGACCTTGGCAGAGCAACCGCCAGCAGAGAAAGGGAAACAAAAAAGATATATGCTGTCGATAAAATGGTCCTTAACCAAGTACTACCAGATTCAGCAGTATCTGCAGCAGCTGCGTCCGCCGCATCAGCAGCAGCGGAAGTAGCAGCAAAGCTAAGCCTAGCTTGCGGACCAGCAACAAGCACTGCAGCAGAGATAGCGCCGGCAGCAGTGAAGCAAAAATAGCATCCGCTCAGAAGCACATTCACTGACGTACAGTTGTCTGATGCGTTTTACATCGTCGCCTGAATCTAACACAGAAAACCAACCGCGGGCCGTTTCAAGTTGAGTACCCACGCGAGCCATTCAATGCAGGAGGCCGCAGCAGGAAAAAGACACAGATGCAAAACGACGACGATATGAAACCTGGGTGAACGACACGGCGGTTGGATTTCACAGTTGTTCNACACAGATGCAAAACGACGACGATATGAAACCTGGGTGAACGACACGGCGGTTGGATTTCACAGTTGTTCTGATCATCCTTTGAGCCTCTGTCGCTGGCGTGGTGCTGCAGCAGCTGCTGCTGCAGCTGCCCCTGGCGTTGCATGCATGCTACTGTTGCTTCACTTTTTGTGCTGCGATAGTTTGAGATCAATGAAAAATTATATGGTGCAGTTCAGGAAGATGTAGAGCGTTAATAAAAGAACGAGGAGGGAGACCATACTCAGGAGGTGTCATTTCCTCATTCTTGGCACATCGCTGAGGAAAACACGAAAATTAACAATTTTTGTATATTGAAAGTGTACAAATAGACCACTTATTTTAAACGATAACAGTACAGTGCTCGTAGGCAACCATTCTGTGTGTTGCTTTTACTACCCGCACTCCATACAAATAAAAGCACGAACTCGAGCACTGCAGTACCAGCACCCGGAGCGGCACGAAGAGCGAAAGTGAAACATCAAAGCTCCTCCGATATCGAACGTCCCTGCTAATAATAAATTGTTACTACTCGCTGGTGTCGGCGATAAATCAGTCTGTGCGGCTTTGTGCACCGTCAGTGTCAGTGCCCTCGGGAGGCGACGACTTGGGCCAGAGGTTCCCCGCAATGATATCCAGCAACACCTGCATCAACGCCCCCCCCGTGCTGGGAACAGTAACAAAGTCTGCTGCTTCCTTTGCGCTGGCGTAGCCATCTCCAACCGCCACTGCAGTGCCAGCTACTTCGAACATGGACAAGTCGTTGTGGGCGTTTCCTAAGACCAAGACCACCTCAGGCGACACCCCCAACGCCTCACATAGCAGCCGCAGTGCTTCCCCTTTGTCGACCCCCGGCGGTACGACCTCAAAAGCCCCCATATGACTCTGCGCAAAGCCAATTTTATCCCCCAACTCCGTCTCCAGTCGGCTGCGGACCCTCGCCACCGCGGTGGGCTCACCTTCAACGTGGACCTTATACACACGGGAATGAGGCGCTGCCTGAGTTGTTTCGCTTTCGTAGTGAATCAAAGGCCCTTCTGTGACACCTATAGCTTTGTGCAGCAGTCCCTCCTCCTCTATAACATTCAGAACTTGCTTCAGGGTGTCGTGCGCTATCGGAGTATCCCGCAGGACTTTGCCCCCGGGACCCAAGACATACGCGCCGTTCAGATAAATTCCAGGACTGCCTGAAAACTCCATTTTCTCCAGATTCTGTTTGCCCAGCAGCTCTATGACGCCCGCGCGAGGGCGACCAGTGGCCACTGCCACTTGGATCCCCAACGAATGTGCCAGGCGGAAAGCTTCCACGTTGTCGGCGGGTAATACTCCATCTTTCCCTACTAAAGTGCCATCTATGTCACTTAAAATTAAACTGACGGGCTTTGAAAGAACAGAAGAAGCGCTGGTAGCGCCGGTGGTCGTGCCTTCCCCTGGCTGGAGGCCGGATGCGGACTCCTCAGCAGTGGCAGGCGACGCGGCAATAGCTAGGGATACGAGAACAAAATTCAATAAAGCCATCGTCTCAACCAAAAAGCAAAACCACATTATTAATTAAATGATGCAAGGTGGGTGCAAAGGCAACGCGTGCTCTACGCACGGAACATGCGCACACGACTGGCTGAGAGTGGTCACGCCAACGTGGACAGGCACGTGAATCTAAGAACTAAATCATAGAGCAACGGTTTAAAAACTTTCAATTGGCTCATTCTAAACAATTAAACAAGTGTAAAGTCATTCTGTGCCTTCAGGTTCGTTGACCAATATGCCGGTTACCCGACACTGGGGAGCTTGCCCTGCTGTAGAGCGCACATCATCTGCCACGAGTGCCCACAACAATATTCAGGGACCTTCATGAGCTGTACCAGAATAAAAAATACATGAGATCAGTGTTCTAACGCGATTGACCGCTCCTCCAGCCCCGAGGCGTCCTGTCCAGAGCAGCACTGAGGCTTCGGTGGAGGAGGCGCGCAACGATGGGCTGCGACTAACCTTGCTGCAACTAGTTCTGGAAGGTAACATAACATGCAAGATCATTGAAGCCCCATTTTCTGCTTGCCCTAACACTGTAGACACTTGCTGAAAAGTTTTTCGACACGTGCTCTGCCCGCGTTAGGCAGCNCTGCTTGCCCTAACACTGTAGACACTTGCTGAAAAGTTTTTCGACACGTGCTCTGCCCGCGTTAGGCAGCTTGCAGGCGACCTTCAGATAGGCATTACTACATTCGGTTTAACTGCTGGACAGATGAAAAGTGAAAGAGACGGAGAAACTAATACAGAAAGATTGGCTTCTTTCCTTCTGGAAGATGGCCTGTTAGGTTCACTGGCACAATTTGCAGTTCATCCTGTGCCTGCACTACCTACGATGTAACGAGTGTCCCACACGAGTGTCCTCGATCCTATTCGAGGACAGTCTTAAGCTGCAATGTAGTCGAAACTAGTCAGCTTAGGAGTTTCCGAAGGAGAGCTGACTTCCCCTCCAGTCCCCAGGCGGCCTGGGCGGCCTGCGGTGCGCAAAGCCTTTTGCTGAGTGCACTAACACTGTCGACAATTGTTGAACACTTACTTAACCATCCATAGCCAGTTTGCGCGCTAGTCAAAATACACGTGCCAACTTCACGGATGCCGTGCTACACTGTCGCTCCTCTCGAACAATGGAAACGTAACAGTATCTGTCCTACGGTTGGGGAGGTGACCAGCGGAAATGTTTTCACCGCAGGAATGATTCATGAAGAATGCTTTTAATTTCGCCGACTTTCCAAAGTTAGCAAGCACCGTACTGCGAGGATAGTGGAGGATTTCCTTGTTCGCGTGAAGGTTTACTTGCTTCTTCAAAGAGCAACCAAGGAGAGAATTATACAAGTTGTTATTTGGCATCTTCTCTACCAAGGGAGATGACATTAGGATTGTGATATTATCTAGGCAAGGCAACCAGTCTTCTAGGAAGCATCAGGGCTATGAAAGCTCTACTTGCCACAACCTGTGAAGTTTTGTCTCGTATCCGAAGCTACGGCAAGGGGCGGCTATCTAACGGTTTACGTATATAAGGGGTTTAACTGTGCTTGCATGCGGAGTTGCGTTGCAGGACGACCTGCAACGGGCTGCATTGCGGCACGTGTCAGGCAGCCTCTTCTCCATCAACCCCAGGCACTTGGTTTGCCCTTTCCAGGCCGGTTGGTGGCTGGAGAGGGGGTCAGCTGCATTTCCGAAACTCGTATATTGAGCGGTTTAACTCGATTGCCGTTCGCGACTATCCTCGGATCAGTTCGAAGAGACTCGTTGCATGCTAC